AAGGATGATCACATGCTTCAAGATGTTGGACGAAGGAAAAGAAGGGCAGGCCAAGATGCCGAGAGACCCTTACATACCCTCTGTTGGGCTCCCCTTAGTGTTTCCTGTTCCTGTGTAAGAAATGTATCTCATTGGCTGTCAGACTTCCAGGGGCGGGGGTCTTAACTAACTTTGTAGGCTTTGTCTGGACCACATGTCTTCACCTGAGTATTGGCTGATACACTCTTCTCAGGCCAGGTGGTGAGATGGGTGGAGGCCTTTATTATGTAGAATACTCTGGCCTAGGCCTTAATTGTCCATTAGCAAAGGTGTGGGGGGGTGAGTTTCTGCCTCTCTGAGGTGAATTTCTGTTTCTGAGTTTCTACTCTTTTTAGGGGAAATATTCTGCCTTTTTAATATTTCCTAGGATATTTCATTTTTCTAGGAAAGGGGTGGCTGTTAATTTCCTACAAAAGGTTTCTGTTTGACACTGCTATTCAACATATGAGCGATTATTGCTGTGCTCAAGGTTATAATTTCATTACATGCCTCCCAGATTTCCATGGGGAAAAAACCCTCCAAAACCGAACATTTCAAGTAGGTTATTGGAATAATGCTTGTTAAAAGAAAACAGGCTCTTTATCAAATCCCTCTCATAGGCCTAGCTCCCAATAAGTAAGCCAGGAGAAAGATTATGTTAAAGACCCGGAAAGAATTATATACTGTAAACTAGGATTGCTTATGCGAAAAAATTAATTTTTAGTTTTGTTGCTGTTGTGATTTTTGATGAGTTGAAAGAGGGAAGAGAATTCAAGCCGTCAAGTATATCTGCAGAAAGCAGGGTTTTGCTTTAATTTTCTATCTAATCTAACCAATTGTTCGCAGATTTCCTTCTCTCCCATATGTCTGTGGGACTAGGGAGGGTGGGAAAAGAAAAGCTAGAGTTTTAATTCCTCCCCCAGCTTCCCCTCTCCTATCCCTAAATTGGAGCATCGTTTTGGATAGAGAGAAAAGATGAAATAATTCTCTTAGAAGAGAGTGATTGCTTTTTTTTTACCCTGTGAAGCAAACTGACCTCATGGGATTCTCCCACATTTTCCATTTGCTGTTTGTCCTTAGTGGCGGAAGATCTGGTTTTAATTGCATGAAGTTCTGATGAACATCCTCCATTGTATTAAAGGGGATGAAAGATAAACCTTGTGCATTGAAGACAGTTGTAAGGGTGAGGGAGAAGAGTAATTTAGAGACATTTGGAAGTACAATCCACTTCATGAGCCTGGACTTGGCACCTTAGCAAATCTTTAGCAATTGCAATTTAAATTCAAATTCCTTCCTTTTGTTTGGGTTGCTGGTGCATGCCATTTCCATGAGTGAATGCAGAAGTGACTGACAGTCTTGAGAATTCTGCTGCTTCCAAAAGTCACTTCTGAAGAGGAAGCAATTGGTTCTCCCGTGTTGTTTCCGATGTACACAGTTGTTAAATGTCATTCAACTGTAAAATAGGCCAAAGGTTTAGTCCATTTTTTATTGCACTGCGCAGTAAAGAAGATGCTTCCTTCAGTTCAGTTTTTATCAGAATATAGGGGAATGGCTTTGCTGTTAACTATATTAAAAAGGCATAAGGGAAAGGAAAATGTGATACATACTTGTAGAATACATTGATCTAGAATACAGATAGTCCTCGCCTTATGACCACAATTGACCCTAAAAGTCCTATGGCTAAGTGAGACATTTGTTAAGTGAGTTTTGCCTCATTTTACAACCTTTCTTGCCACAGTTGTTAGGTGAATCACTGCAGTTGTTAACTTAGTAATACAGTTATTACGTGAATCTGGCTTCCCCATTGACTTCGCTTGTCAGAAGGTGGCGAAAGTGATCACGTGACTCCAAGGCACTGCAGTTGTCATAGATATGATTCAGTTGCCAAGTGTCTGGATGTTGATCATGTGACCATGGGGATTGCGCAATTCCTAGTTGGGGGGGGAAGAGAGAGAGACACCAAGACCCAAGGTCACCAGCTGTTTTTTGCCTAAGGCAGGACTAGAACTCAGAATGTTCCAGTTTTCAATTCAGCATCCATAACCATTACATAACTGATTTAGACATCCAGTATTTGATCATTCTTCCTATGGCAAAGATTGTGCATTTCCAAATACATGTGGATACCTAACATCAAAAACGTCATCAAAAAAAGCACAACAAAGAATGTTCTTTCTGCGCCAACTCAGGAAGCTCAAACTGCCCAAGGAGCTGCTGATACAGTTCTACAGAGGAATTGTTGAGTCTGTCATCTGCACCTCTATAACTGTCTGGTTTGGTTCTGCAACCCAACAAGACAGACACAGACTTCAGAGAGTAATTAGGACTGCAGAAAAAACAATTACTACCAACTTCAATTGAGGACCTGTATACTGCATGAGGACCTGTATACTTCAATTGAGGACCTGTATACTGCATGAGTCAAAAAGAGGGATGTGAAAATATTTACAGATCCCTCACACCCTGGCCATAAACTGTTTCAACTCCTTCCCTCAAAACAATGCTATAGAGTTCTGCACACCAGAACAACTAGACACAAGGATAGTTTTTTCCCTGAACACCATCACTCTGCTAAATAAATAATTCCCTCAACACTGTCCAACTATTTACAAAGTCTGCACTACTATTACTATTAATCTTCTCATCACTGCTTATCACCCCTCCCCTCCCACTTGTAACTGTATGACTGTAACCTTGTTGCTTGTATCCTAATGATTTTTTTTGACTGTTTCCTAGTATGATTTGATTGCTTATTGCACCTATGACTATTATTAAGTGTTGTAGCTTATGATTCTTGATGAACGTATCTTTTTTTTTTATGTACACTGAGAGCATTTGCACCAAGACAAATTCCTTGTGTGTCCAATCACACTTGGCCAATAAATAATTCTATTCTATTCTATTCTATTCTATTCTATGTTAGGGTGTGAGCAAGAGGAAAGAATTTTTGTTGTTATTATTTTGATGTCTGTCAGAGGTTAAATCTCCCTGTGCATATAAAGGTAAAACAGTAAACCATCTTTAAGGGAAGTTTGACTTCTGATAACTTACTCATATAGCTTTCTTGGCATCAGAACAGAAATGATTTGTCTTTGGGGGGGTTACTTCTGCAATTTGTCAATCTAGCCTTCATCTCTAACTTTCCTAGTAATCTTCCACTTAAATATTAACTTAATCTATCGGAGATCAATTGAAGTCTTCTAAGTGCTGTCACTTAACAGATAAAAAGGTAAACCTTAAAAAATGGTACTGTAAATTGTATCCTATTCTGTTAGCCGCATCAGGCTGAAAGGCTTTGAAGTGATATGATTTTCCAAGGAGAAATCCTCCTGAATATTTTAAAGCAGTAAATTCTCTACTGACAAATGAACTATATTTCTTAGCTACATATTTCAGAATCTCTTTTTCTTTCATCTTCAAAGAACTTCATTTCAACCATTGAAAAAAAAAATGAATTCTTACGCTATCATCAAACGGTGCTATAAAAACTAGAGGGGCGGAGAGTTTCACCCTGGTTTTTCTAAAAAGACAGGAAATTATTACCCAAAAATGTTTTTCTACTTCATGTTAACATATATTGCTGGCACTATTCCAATTGCCTTGCTCTCTCAAGATAATGTTCCAGTGAATTCTTTAGGCCTACTGTTCCTGTTCTTACATTATGTACATTATGCTCTAATGTATTTTATCTGAATTATGCTCTTAAATTACCTGACAAACAGTAGGAGAATTTCATTGTGCTTGCCTTCTGATGAATCATCAGCTTACGGCCCATGTGTTAATAATAATAAAAAATGCATATACCATCTGACTCCTAGTGACTATCCACCCAGGGATAGTCTTGAATTAGTACCTTTCCCTAGTACGCCATTCCTTGTTTAGTGACCATCTCAGTTAGTGACCGTTTGCAAATGCAGCACTAATAAAAAGTGTTTTAAAAAAATCACTTTCTGTCCAGTGTATGAATTTGCAACCAAATTTGGTGCACCTGACAAACAACGCATGCCAGTGTGGGAATAACAAGAAGAGAGTAACAATTTTATCTGAATGAGACAGACACAACTAGTGACCTTCACGCATCTTTCTCTTGATCTCTGCTGTGTTTGCTTAACAACAATTTCCCTTGATGATCTGGTTGCCAGAATAGAACTTGGTTGCTAAATGAGGAGTATGTGTCTACAGCAGAGTGGAGGCTCTTGAATCAATTCAGCTGCATTACAGGCTTTTTTGCTAAGGTGAAGATGATGATATTATCCATTCAGTCATGTTAGGCTCTTGGTGATCTTATGGGCCAGGTGTCTCTATGCCTTCTGATCTTGCACTGCTTCTTTGAGTTATTCTAGACCGGTGATGGCGAACCTATGGCACGTGTGCCGGAAGTGGCATGCAGACCCACCTCTGCGGGCACACGAGCCGTTGCCCCAGCTCAGTTCCACTGCGCATGTGCACGTGCCTCTTGCCATCCACTTGATTTTTGGGTATCTGCTGCTCATGCATGCGGGGCGGGGCACATGTGGGAGACAGGTGCGCATGTGCAGGGTCGGAGAGCACGGGGGGGTTCCATGCGCAGGGGCTGGGGGTTGCACGGTGGGGTTGCACGTGCATTGCATTATGGTTGCAGGCATGCATGCACTTTCGGCATGCGATGACAGAAAGGTTAGCCATCACTGTTCTAGCCTCTGGCTGGTGTCAGCTTTGATTGTGTCCAGTCATCTTTGGCAGCCTGGTTTCCTTTTACCATTAATTCTTCCAAGCATAATTGCTTTCTTCAGTGAATGTTGCTGAGGTATTTGTGGCATTTGGAAATTTTGTTCCAACAAATCAAGATTGTACTTGGAGTTATTTCAACTCTTTCAACAGTAATGATATGTTCTCCACTCTAATATTAGTAGATTGGGGAAAACATCAGGTATGGCTGATTGTATTGCTATTAGTAATTTTATTCTGTATTCATTTGAGTGATCTATCCTATTTTCATACAGATTTCTGATATCCATGTTACTGGAGAGTCAGAGGATATGTCTGCTAAAGAGCGGTTGCTTCTTTGGACACAACAGATAACGGAAGGTTGTGCTGGAGTTCGTTGTGAAAATTTCACTACCTGTTGGCGGGACGGGAAACTATTTAATGCCATCATTCATAAATACAGGTATTTGCACTTTTGTTAAAAATGTATGTGGAAATAATTATTCTGAGAAATTAGAAAGTTGCAGAGATTTATCATTACAACCTGACGTTTGTTTGGTAAAGCATGCATCATACATTGTAGCAATTAGACAATGGTCTTTTGGAATCAAAGAGATAATCAACTTAAAGACTGTGATGTCATACCTTATATGTCACATTATTCGGAATTTGCCTTCCTGGGTCTTAATATTGTTGTCCAAATGAGGGTCAAAATCTCAGCAAAAAAAAATCTAAAATGCATAATACCAAGGTATAGGAAGCATAATGAAACCTCATTATAACAAATCATTTGGATAGAATTTGTTGAACCTAAATATCTGTTAAATTTGAAAGTCTGATTTGCGTCATGAAGCCATAGTGAAAGGCATATATTGTGGTGGATATTATAGAATTAAAGGTAAATTTTATCTACATTTAACTGCCTTGTTTGTACTACCTAAGATGCAGAGAAAATTGTTGTTCTGCGGGGTGCGGGGTGGGGCATTTTTATATAGAACAGTAGTCTGTTACATCCAAAAATCTGCTAAATAGGGGTGGATTAAATCAAGGTTTCATGATAGTTTAAGAAGCTCAGCTTCTAATTATATTTATGCATTTTTAAAAGCACGACACAGGGTCTTTAAGGATGTGTTTGAGGATTTTTGAGCAATGTCTGATGATAGCTCAGAAGCCAGAGAGAGGCAACTCAAAGGTGCTCACTAGTTGAGAACATCAGGTTGTCAGAATCAAGTTTATTTTATTTTATTTTTATTTATTTATTTTTGTCAATTGCTTACAAGATAATAGGTATAAGTAAAACATAGTTATGAATACATGGATACATATAAGAAAAAAAATAAAAGAAACAATAGGACAGGGACGGTAGGCACATTGGTGCGCTTATGAATGCCCCCTACAGACCTCTTAGGAAAGGGGTGAGGTCAATAGTAGACAGTCTAAGGTTAAGGTTTTTGGGGTTTGGGGAAGAAACCACAGAGTCAGGTAGAATATTCCAAACATTGACCACTCTGTTGCTGAAGTTGTATTTTCTGCAATCAAGTTTGGTGCGATTAACCTTGAGTTTGTATCTATTGTTTGCTCTTATGTTGTTATGGTTGAAACTGAAGTATTCATTGACAGGTAGGACATTGCAATGTATGATTTTATATACTATACTTAGATCGGACCAAAGGCGGCATAGTTGTAGATTTTCTAGGTCTAGAATTTCGAGTCTGGTGGCATAAGGTATTCTGCAATGAGTAGAAGAGTGGAGAACTTTTCTTGTGAAATATTTCTGGACTTTCTCAACTGTGTTAATATCAGATACGTAATGTGGTTTCCAGATTGATAAGCTGTATTCGACTATTGGTCTAGCAAATGTTTTGTATACTCTAGTTATTAGTGTGATATTACCAGAGAAAAAGCTACGTAGGATTAGGGTAACAACTCTTAATGCCTTTTTGGCTATGTAGTTACAGTGGGCTCTAGCACTTAGGTCATTAGAGATGAGTACTCCAAGATCCTTGACAGAGTTTGGATTGTCAACAAGGTCTTGACTATTCAGGCTGTATTTTATTTTCTGATTTTTTTTGCCAATATGTAAGACAGAGCATTTATTTGTTGAGATTTGAAGTTGCCATTTGTTTGACCATTCTGATACATAGTCAAGGGTAGCAGTATTGTCTGTGGTGTTGAATAGCTTTACATCATCAGCAAAGAGAACGCAATTGCTCTTGATATGATCACAGGTCATTTATGTAGAGTATGAAAAAAGTTGGTCCTAGAACACTGCCTTGGGGGACACCACTGTTGACAGGTACAGAATTTGATAGGATGCTCCCAATTTTGACCATTTGTTGTCTGTTTGACAGGAATGCTTCTATCCAGTTATGCAGGTGTCCAGAGATACCGTAAGATTTTAGTTTTAGGAGTAGTTTGTCATGTACCACTCAATCAAAGGCTTTACAGAAGTCTATGTAGATTGTGTCTATTGCTTTCCCCTGATCGAGTTGTGTAGTCCATATGTTTTTGCAGTGTAAGAGTTGCAAATTACATGATAGTTTTTTCCTGAAACCACATTGTTTATTAGAGAGTAGGTTGTTTGTTTCTAAGTGGAGGATAATGGATTGGTTAATAATTGATTCCATGACTCTACAGGTGATGCAGCATAAAGAGATTGGTCTGTAATTTTCAACTAGGCTGGGGTCTCCCTTTTTGAAGATGGAGATGACCGTGGCTTGTGACCATAGTTTCAGCAAGGAGCTGCCAAGGAGCTGGTTCGGCTATGGCAGTGGATAGCTTTTTTAAGAAGTAGGCACACATTCCATCCGGTCCAATAGAGATGGTTTTAGATTGCGTAGTGCTTTTTCAACATTGTCTTCTGTAAAATTGATATGTATTAGATCATTGTAGTTGTCTGTGGTTTGACAAGGAAATACTGGGCATGATCCATTGCTGTTTACAAATACTGAGCCAAAGAATGTATTAAAGAGGTTGGCTTTAATAGTGTCGTCGTTGCAGTCTTTACCATCAGGTCCTATCAAGGGTGGGATGGACCTTGAGTCTTTTAGTTTGTTGTTTACAAAATTGTAGAAAGCGTGGATGGAACTGGTGCATAGAAGGTTTTCTTCTTGTTTAATGTGATAATTGGTGCATTCAGTTTTTATCTGGTGGCATAAATTTTTGTATCGGCTTTTGAAGTTGGCAACGTGACCAGATTTGTTTTTTCGCCAAAGTGATTTCTTTTTGGATTGAAGCTTCCTTATTGTTATGGGTAATTTGTTTTTTCTGGTTTTGGGAGTTGTTAATGGTACATATAGTTTGATAACTCTTTTGACTTCAAGTAAAAATATGTTGTAATGGTCTTCTACAGTATTGTGTCCAGTGAATAGAAATTGTCAATCAAGAGATGAGAGATCATTGTTTATAAGATCATAGTTGCCTTTTTTGAAGTTTTAATTGGGGATTCCGTTGTTGTGATGATTTTTGTTTGGATGTATGTTGAAACAAAAGTCAATCATGTTGTGGTCACTGTTGGAAAAGGGTTCTTTAATTTGTATTCCATAAATTGAATTCAAACTATTGCAGAAAATGAGATCGAGGCAGTTGTTAAGTCTAGTGAGGTAGATTGAAGTCACCAAGAAAGATAAAAGTGTGTGGGCAGGATGCTGCCCGTGTTAGTAGTGTATTTAGCTTGTTTGCATGTTTGATGTCATAATCAGGGGCTCTGTAACATAGTAAGAACCAAAATGTGATATTTAAGGACAGTTCACAGACGATGGTCTCAGGAATAGCAAGCTCCTGGGTAACTTGGATGTTTTTTAGATGTAGGGACTTTTTATAGAAGATAACAACACCACCTCCTCTATGGATTTCACGATCAGATCGGTAAACATGATAGTCTCTTACTATGGTAATAGAGTCAGGGAGAGATGCATTGAGCCATGTTTCACAGACAAATATAATGTCGAATTTAGCCGTATTTAATAAGAGGAGAAATTCAGATATTTTATTTACAAGGCTTCTTGCATTGAGTAGCTTGCATTTAAGCTTGCATTTGGAATAGAGGTAGTTAGGGGCATGCGTGCCTAGTTTTGAGTGATGTTGGATTGGATGGGGTGGGCTTGGATGCGGAGTTGTGGGTTGTGTGACTTTCTTTTGATGCAATCAGCTCTGTAGTCAATGTATAGGTTCTTTTCTCCATTGTCTAGACGGTTTTTGAGTTCTGCACGGAGTTCACGGGAGTGGATTCTTTGCAGTATGGATAAGTCTGGTCTTGAGTGAAGTTTTTTGTGGTTGGGATTGGTTTTTGCAATGGCATTTATTGTATGAATGAATATGCGTTTGCTGGACTCATTTTTGCATACAACTCTACAAAATCTTGGGGCCACAGAGCCGTCATTGTATTTGTACTCAGGGCCATCTCTGGTTATTTCAATGATATCTTCAGGAGAGATGTTTGTTATATTTGAGTTGCTTATGATATCACGAACTTTGGTGATGTCGTCTGATTCATTGGTGTCTTCGAGACCAAATAAGATAACATTTGGACATTTCTGTTCACATTCCATGGTGACCTCTAAAAATCTTTTCTGTGGTTTTTAATGGGGATAAACATAACTCTGAGTTAAAAACTGTCCTTTATGGGAACTGAAGACATTCCTGGAGGCTGGTATCACAGTGGTTGTTTCCTTGTCATCAGATGACAGGATAACAGAGATCATGTTCCCAGATGTGAAAAACTTTTAAAATATTGGTAGCTTGTTAACTGTTTTTATAGGGGAAGGGAACAAGCAGCCAACTATTTATAATGAGTGGAAGGAATAGAAGAGGTAACAAGTTAACATTTGTTGATCTCTACATGATTTTCCCTTTTTTTCTTGTAAAGGCTACACTGCAGAAGAACTGCAAGCGTTGGCATTTAAGTTTAGACTATGAGTGGATTAAGTTTAGGTCTTTTGGTGTTTTAGAAAGTGTTCCTTGAATAAACATGTTCTTTATTTATCCTGTCTTTTTTGAATCTCACTTTTCTGTGCATATTTAGAATACATAAACCTAAATTACATACATACATACATACATACATACATACATACATACATACATACATACATTAATATATAATTGCTTTCAGAAAATTGTTGGGGCTATTTTTATTGCTCAAGCCAACAGAAATTCCTCCCTGAACTATTTTGTCTCCATGGTTGTTTCATCTCAATGCTGTATCTCTGAAATTATAAATGTTAAATAAAATCTTACATAGCACTTCTGACAAATTGGAAGGATTGTAGTAAAGTCATTGATTCAATAAAGATAGAATAAAAATTTGCACAAAATGAATCTGTAATAAGTTAGTCACTGGTGGAACAGCAACAATAAAATATCAAATTGTTATTATATATCAGGTATGTTTTTTATCTGGTAGTTTTATAGTAATACCTGAAGTTGAACATCATTAAGAAGATTGGTATTACAAGACATGTA